AAATACAATCCAAAAACATAGCTGAACCAATCAAACAACAGATGGAGAAGTATCTTACAAACAATGATACATATGAACGCCAAGAATCTCCATTTGGTAAGGCTATAAATCAAGCCATCGACATTCAAAAAACAACACAAGTAGATATTAAACTGATAGAACCAGAGTTCACCTACAAGACAGGAGCGTATTTTATGTTAATGAGAGCTACTGGAGCCGATTGGGAATCTCAAAAACAGAACCGCAGAACAAACTGCCCAACGGAAAGAAATTGTACGAGAACTAATAGGAGAAAGCTCTGATTCAACAGCCATTGCATTTACAGATGGCTCCTGTCAGGGAAACCCGGGACCATGTGAAGCAGGAGCAGTAATATAAAATGAGAACCACAAAGGAACAAGCTTAAAAAGACCAGTAGCTAGCAGAGGCTCCATGCTTTTAGCAGAACTAGTAGCTATCATCATGGTCTTGGAGCACTGCATTTACACACTTAGAGAACAGTTCACTGAAGTAAAGATACTATCAGACAGCCAGACAGCTGTTGGCATCTTGACTCTCAACTGGAAGTCAACTAACTACATCGACACCATCACAGACATTAAGGAAAGCATTGGGACCCTCCTGAGAGGCGGCATACAAACTACCCTATCTTGGATCCCATGCCATGTTAATATAGCCGGGAACGAGATAGCGGACCAGTTAGCAAAAGATGCAGCAAAGGAGGCCTTAGGCCTTAATGACCAGTACAGCGTCATAACTATGTCAGATGTGAAAAGTGCAGTCCAGATGTCAACAAAACTAAAATGGCAAAATAGATGGACCAGAAGTGAAACAGGGAGGCAACTTCATACATATATTTCTATTGTAGGTAAGATCTACTCACTTGATTATCCGAACCCAGTTATAGGAAGAATCATGTCGGAATTTAGGACTGGCTACAATAGACTAAATAAATACCGTTATCAGATAGGACAATCCCCCACGCCATATGGCAAATGTGGCGAATAAGATAGCACGGAACACTTTCTACTCAACTGTACAAGATACCACCAGGAACGAGAAGAAATGAAAAGACAGCTGGAGATACATAACATCACAATAGATCTCCAGACACTACTTGCACCAACAAAAAAAGAGACATACGAAATAACAGCAAATATATTAGATTATTTAAAAAGTTCAGGGCGATTCCAAGAAACACTAAGCCCTAAAGAATACCGATCCTGCGCCTAAACAATGTAACCAAAGTATACAATGTGAAATTACCCAGAGAAATCTCGGTACCAAGTAGAAACAAGAAAGCACATAGAGACCAGTTGTGTCAAACTTAATATTGACCTTAGGATCAGGATCAGGATCGACGAGGGGGGTATTTTACGACCTTGACTACCTATGTTCTGCTGAGAAAAAAAATCAGATTACAGTTATTTTTAACATTTTGCGACTAGGCATAGTTCGGTCAACTTTTCTTAATTACATCTACGACTGAAATTATCTTGAAAACAACTTAGGATTAAAATACCACTCGAAATAAACCTTTTAAACGGATTTTTAAGTTCTTACGGTTTGTGAAACGGTTGGCTGTTCATACTGCAAAATACAACTCTATCAAAAGATTTGAAAACTATAAAAACAAAAATACCGTTTGATTCTTTACTTCCCAATGTCACTAACAATTAAAAACACAGAATATCGGTAATAGAAGAAGAAAGAATTCAACTTTTCGGGTAATTTGTGATGACGTATTTACCCCCCACGAAGAGATAACTCCGACGTAGAAACACAAGAGTGCACACGCTGAAATGTCTCGCCTTCTTTACTAACCATTGATATTATGTTGATAGTCCTAAATATAAAGTTTTACTACAACTATCACATAAACTTAACATGATCCAAGAAAATGAGGTCAAAGTCATGTAAACCAAACAAGAAATACATATACACGTTACAATCATTCAATACACTAAATATAGTTGACCCATTGCTTATAGTTTCTAAGGAACAGACTTAACCAAGAAAACTAAACATTGACAAATGAACCATGAAAATGAGGTCAGGGTCAGATGAACCATGCCAGGCAGACATGTACAGCTTACAATTATTCCATACAACAACTATATTTGGCCTATTTCTTTAAGTCTAAGAAACCAAAACAGACCAAAACACAAAAACTGAACACTGAGCAACGAACCGTGAAAATGAGGTTAAGGTCAAATAAAACATGCGAGACTGACATGTACATCATAAAATATTTCCATACACCAAATAAAGTTGACTTATTGCATAAAGTATTAGAAAAAAGACCAAAACTCAAAAACTTAACTTTGACCACTGAACCATGGAAATGAGGTCAAGGTCAGATGACACCTGCCAGTTGGACATGTACACCTTACAATCATTCCATACACCAAATATAGTAGACCTATTGCAAACAGTATAAGAAAAAAAGACCAATATACAAAAACTTAACTATAACCACTGAACCATGAAAATGAGGTAAAGGTCAGATGACACCTGCCAGTTGGACATGTACACCTTACAATCCTTCCATACACCAAATATACTAGACCTATTGCTTATAGTATCAGAAATATGGACTTAACAACCAAAACTTAACCTCGTTCACTGATCCATGAAATGAGGTAGAGGTCAAGTGAAAACTGTCTGACGGTCATGAGGACCTTGCAAGGTACGCACATACCAAATATAGTTATCCTATTACTCATAATAAGAGAGAAATTAACATTACAAAAAATCTTAACTTTTTCCCCCCCAAGTAGTCACTGAACCATAAAAATGAGGTCAAGGACAATGAACATGTGACAGACGGAAACTTAGAAACATAAGGCATCTATATACAAAGTATGAAGCATCCAGCACTTCCACCTTCTAAGATATAAAGCTTTTAGGAAGTGAACTAACGCCGCCGCCGGATCACTATCCCTATGTCTAGCTTTCTGCGACAAAAGTCGGTCTCGACAAAAATGGTCATTGCCCGATACCACTAAAGGCACTGCCTTTAAAAACTTTTACAGAAAGATACATCTGTTAAAATTGTCCTATTGATATGGATTCATTTATTTTCAAGGAATAAGGATAACTTGCATGTCTGAAGATAATGAATTTTGTGGTATTGCAAAAGTTTTCATACAACCTTATAGAAAATGCGTCATTTGTTAAACATTTTAATTTGTTGTTCATTTGTACCCACAAACAGTCGTATCCAACTAATAATAATGAATTGTCAGTATATCAATACATACAGTATTGTACGGGGATTTGCATGGGATTTTGCCTGTTTGACCCTGTGTTCTTTCAATTAGTAATGGTCACCATGAAGATAAGATTTTGAAGGAAACATTGGACACAAATAAAAAATAAACAATCTCAATATTATTGTGGCCATGTTTGGTTTCTATATAGTTTTAAAGTGTCAGAAAACAAGATCTTTTATTTAAAGATGGAATACAGGATGAAGACCTACAGCAATTTGAACCATGCGCCTATTGTCATGACCATGAGTTTTTACTTATACGGTCCAAAGATACACTTATTGACATGTTGAAGGTTGAAACATTTGACCAAGCATATATACATACAGTATATTTTCGTTTTATGAGCTTGAATGTCCCTCTGGTATCTTTCGCCCCTCTTTAGTAAGACTTACTACATGCCTTACCATGTTAATCCTCAGTTTAACAATTAATACTGCAATATAAATGTATGACCCTTCAATTTGACATAAAACTAAGTCTAAAACAATTTACAGATATATTAAATTTTGGAAGAAATTATAAATCATTTAGAATATTAAATTTTGGAAGAGTTTATAAAAAAATAAATATTGAATAATGATTTTTTTTATCATAATTATGTCATGATACACTAATTATGCTAATTATAGTTTTCATGATTAATTTAACAAAGTGACTATGGATAACCCAGTGAATTCAATTCACAAGTTAAAAGTATACTAAAAATATTTATCTAGATTGTTCTTCCGAACGACTTTACAAAATAGCTTCCAAGAAATATTGAAATCAAATCTTAAACAAAAAGTAAATTGTTATACAACAAACACTTTTAATTAACACTAACACTACTAGCGAAGTCAAAAAAGCAGATACACCCACATTCGGACAATATGTTTTATATTTACTGTTGTTGCATCATGAACCCTTTTTAATTATATGTTTTATATCTTATTTACTGAACATACTTGTGCTTTAAAAATTGCTTTTCTTTTAATATTGGACAAAATGAATTAAAAATGTCAGTTTTAATTTTTACCATTTATCCTGGTTTGCTGTAGTTTGGCAGTCACTTGTAAAACAATTGATAAACGATGAAACAATGACAAGTGATCATTGCTCATTTTTAGACATATGTTTCCAAACTACCTATAAATGAATCATATTGTTCAATTTTTATTTTTTTTCTCAAAATAATAGACAATACTTGTATTTTACCCTTATGTTCTATTTTTAGCTATGTCTGCAATCTTATTTAGCAGGCAGGGTCATTGGACACATTTTTCAACTAAATACCCCAATGATGATTGTGGCCAAGTTTGGTTAAATTTGGCAAAGTAGATTCAGAGGAGAAGATTTTTGTAAAAGTTAACAGACGACAACGGATGACAGACATCAAGTAATGAGAAAAGCTTCCTTGGCCCATTGGGACAGGTGAGCTAAAAATGGAAGTTATTGTATTGTATGACATCACTGATTGGAAGTTGTAGTACAGGCTAGCTCCTCCCCTTAAACATCTTTATGATTTTTACAAGATATTTTATAGGCAAACATGAAACCATGACACAAATGCAAATCAATGGTGACAGCTTCACATCTCATATCTTTCTAAGATGCCTGCTGAGAATCGGTGCAAGACTAAAAGATAAACAAAGCAACCTATTTCAGATCAATAATGTTTAAATGGATAGTTTTACTGCAATCACTTTGGCAGTTTATAGAAGTTGATATAAAAGTAATCTGCTTCAATAAATAATGATAAATTTTATTGAGTATGAATTTAATTATATCGTTGTTTTGGTGGTTGATAATATTGCATGGTTGGTTTGTCATTGTCTGGCTTCTTCCGTCTGAATTCCATGCTCTGTATTTGGCTGGCAGTTGTTGGTTGATTAGCTGGTGGGGGTACGTTATAAGTAAACATCCCAGGTGGTGGCATACTAAAATCTGGTAGTGGTACTGCAGGTACTTTAGTCAGCTGTAAATTAAAATGTGGAATAAATAGTTAATTTTACTTTCACTTTTGAAATTGTAGTATAAAATTGAGAATAGAAATGGGGATTCAATGTGTCAGAGAAAACAACCCGACCAAAGAGCAGAAAAGAGTCCAAGGCCACCAATGAGTGGTCAACACAGCGAGAAAATCCCCCTCCTGGAGGTGGGCTTCAGCTGGGCCCTTAACAAAAATGTTTATACTAGTCTATACTCCTCTGGAACTATTTTTTTAAAAATTTTATATCACTGTTTATTCATGTCTGAACATTGTATTAGTAATTCCTCCAGGCCCACCCTCCCATACCACTTACAAAATAAATGGAGAATGTGTCATTGGACACAGATGATGCCCTGCTTGCATTTAACGTTATTAAGGGAAATAACTTGAGAACTGTAGAAGTGACACCACCCAAATTCCAACTTGATCTGTGTTTTAAGGTAATAAGCATTGTGTATAATTTTCATAACATTTGGTTGAGGCAAACTAAAGTTACAGGATTGAAACCAATTTTGGGACGTATGTACAAGGGTAAAACTTAATGACCCCTTTGCGGCAGGGACATAAAATTTACAGCCATTGTAGTGTCAAAGTAATGTTGTCTTATTCCTATTACTGAGGTGTGCATGCATGAGTGATAATCTTTCAAATACTTTGTAGTGACATTTTAAAATGATTATCTAAAATATACATTTTCCTAGTTATAGCAAAGTCATTCAAAATATTTTCCTTATACACTGAGAGAGAATATTTAAGGAGTGGGAAAGGTAAAAATACAGACATGTTTACTTGAAATTTATTATATAATATAAGAAGGTTTACAGTATTCAAGTCACATATACATATATTGCTATCCAATCCTTTGGATTTATTATCATTCATCTGAAACTAATTGGCATAAATATTTAACAATGATAAAATCATGTTTATTTGACCTTTTATTTATATATAAATACCTACTGGTTTTATATCTGTTAATTTAACTTCTTCATGATTTCCATATTCCAGAAATAAAACAACAGCAAAATTCTGTATGCACTGATGTATCACAGCATGATAATACTGAAATAGAAATACACTTTATATTGCATATAACATATACAGATTGTAAATAAATACACTGGAAAATACATTTGTAACTTCAGTTTGATGATCATGATGATGGATGGTGCTGTTTAAAGTCTAGTGGCAAATAAAATACACATTGAGGACAAGAACATGATAATGGGATATGAATTTAAACCCTACTTTGTATTATGACTGTGGAGCGGTCAATGTAACAGTGCGAACTTTACAAGGCTAATTATGGTAGTTGTTTGTTCTTTTGGAATGTTAAAACAGTTTATCATAGAAAATAAGTTTTGAAAACCTAAATTGTCTGTGAATGAAAGATTGATTAAATTCATTGTTTGCTTGGTTAACATCCAGATGGGTGATGAGGTGATAAAAGATTGATTGATTGGTGTTTAACACCACTTTCAGAATTATTGGCTATTCTATGGCGATCATTTTTTATTAGTGGAGGAAGCCAGAGTGCCCAGAGAGAACCACCAACCTTTTGATGAAAGACAATTTTAGATAAACATAGTTTGATGCTTTTTCATGGTATCAGTGTTGATGGTCCAACTTCTATACTTATAATAGTATCTTTAAGAATCGAATTAGAACTGACAGGTTAAAATAAAATTTGTTAGCAGATTAATAGAATTTTCTTTTAAATAACTAATTCAAATTTGCTTTTATGTATTATAAAAAAACAATATGTACTGTGACCAGTATCAGGAAGTTGAGCTAAATGTTGTCTGACATAAAAACAAAATGGGACAGAAATGTGTTACAGACAACGAACAGATGAAAAACAGTATACTACTCCATTGGAGCAGGAGTATAAATACACGTGTAATATTAAAATTTTTATATTATATAGAAACCGGTAGTCTATTCTACTACAATATTTATCTGTTGTGCTGATTTTAACTAAACAATACAAATTTTGTATTGTATTGTATTGTATTGTATTGTATTTTATTTTGTGTATTGTATTGTATATTGTATATTGTATTGTATTGTATTGTATTGTATTGTATTGTATTTTGTATTTTGTATATTGTATTGTATTGTATTGTATATTGTATTGTATTGTATATTGTATTGTATTGTATAGTATTGTATATTGTATATTGTATTGTATTGTGTTGTATTGTATTGTATTGTATTGTATTGTATTGTATTGTATTGTATTGTATTGTATTGTATTGTATTGTATTGTATTGTATTGTATTGTATTGTATTGTATTGTATTGTATTGTATTGTATTGTATTGTATTGTATTGTATTGCATTGCATTGCATTGTCTGAAAGTTTTTCGTAAAATTGTAAATCTGTTAATACTAACCTGATTATCTTCCCAATATTTGGCCAAACAATGTTCTCCCTCTTTCCAGGTCTTAGTCTCACCTGCAGTCTAGAAAAAGAACAAAATATAGTATACATAAAATTTGTTTATAATAAAAATTCAGTTGTACTCATGCTAAGAGGTGCAAGTATAAAACCAGAATATATACCACCATCAAATTAATATGGATAACAAAAAGTTTCATTGAGTCTTAGAAAAGGGTATAAAATGAAAAAAAAATTCTGTGAAAAATTGTGTATGATTTTTGTACCTCAATGCTACAATACATCTCACTACAATACTATAAATGATATGATTCAATAAAAGATCTGTATGAAGATTTGGTGGCTGTGTGGTCAAGATCAAGTTCAAGGCTCACTAAAAATGTTTGGCAATAATATGTGGTTTCCTGTAGGCATTAGAAAAGAAATTTTTATTTCAAATGTATTCATTCTGCTTGCATGTTTTATTCTTTAAAACAAGTTAAAATTGAGAAATATAGTAATTCATGAGCAAAACACAGAGAAAATTTTGTCTTTCTTTTGTAAAACCATGAAGTTGAATATCACAAAAATGGCACAGTTGATAAAAAAGCTTCCAATAATGTGACATTATTATATAAATAACACATAGCTGAGAGGGTGATCGAGCAGATTGTTACCCCGAGAAAACATTGTCAACTGAGGCGAAGCCAAGGTTGACAATGCTTTTTCGAGGGGTACCAATCTGCTCTATTACCCTCTCAGGTATGTGTTATTTAATTTATTATACTGAATTTCCTATCATCATCCTTTTAGTACCGTTGAATTTTAAATTTAAAGTATTTTACTATGACGTAACGTACATAAAAACATTATGGGTATTAGAAAAATCTACAGAAGTGAAGCAAGATGTTTTATTTTTTATTTTGACAGTCAATGAAAAAGTTCTGAGCCAAAATGTAGAACTTAAGCATTGTCTTTAATTACTTGATGTACGGTAAGTTCAATCAATTGTCCTTTAAATTATCGATTTTTGATTGGTCTGCACAAGAGGGTGACTTTCAAAAAATTGTCTCCCGCTCAGCCATGGGATAGAGTACATTATCTACCTCGTATTAGCCAATCAAAATCTGGCATTTTAACGTGAAGTATAATAAATTTAATTAGCTACCAATGTCAAAACAAGTAATTCCTGATAAATTATGGCAATATGCAAGATAATAAATGCCATGTAGTTTAATTTTTTTTAACCACTCGACAGACGGTGTATAAAGTGTCAACAATTTGGAGAAATATAAATACAAGCCATCAAATAAAACAGCCCTAAGTTAACTTACTGCTTGATACTGTTGTTGTCCATTATTTATGGGTTCTTTTTTCCTGGATTTAAAATCATTAGTTTGTCCTTGATAGGACTGGTTACTGTTTTCTGACTTCCCTTTGTAGTTGGTTTGTGATTTGATATTTTGTTCATCTCTTTTATTACTTGTTGTATAATTACTGTCTCTTTGTTCTGTTCTACTAGAACTATAATCTCCGGGATTTCTTTTTTGAGAGTCTCTGCTTTCATAACTATTTCCATTTGAACTGCGGTTTTCATTTTGGTAACCTCTGTCGTTCAAATTACGACTTTTACTGCTATCTGATCGTCTATCATAATTCTGTTCTCGATCATATCCTTTTTGATTTGGTCGTCTGCTGTCTTGAAAGTTCCTATCACTAGTATTTGACCCTTGCTCTGACCTTTTGTCATAATTTTGTGACCTATCATTTCTTGTTATTTTGTCATTGTTATAATTTTGCCTGTTATTACTAAACTGCCCATCACCTTTACTTTGTTGAAAGTTTCTGTCATTATTAGTCTGTTGTGACCTCTGACCTCTGTCAAACTTATCCTGTTGTTTATTTCGATCATTACCACTCTGACCTCTGTCATATTTATCCTGTTGTTTATTTCGATCGTAACCACTCTGACCTCTGTCATATTTATCCTGTTGTTTACTTCGATCGTACCCACTTCCCGGTCGCTGAGATTTATTGTCAAAGTTAGAGGATTGTTGTGGATTATTTGCGGGACTAGATTTTGGCCGGCTATCAAAGTTTCTCCTATCGTTTTGTGAATTTTGTCTATCGTAGTTAGAGGAATTGTCTTGATATTTGGGTTTATAACCTCTATCACCTTGCCTGCTGCCATCATTTGAGTATTGCATAGATTTTGAAGGCACACTATTGCTGGATTTTGAATCTTTGTTCTCTGTGAAATAAATGAGACACCACTTTATTTCTATTAAATTTTAAACGTAAAATACAAGTTGAAAAATATTGATTTATTTGATGTTTTCTTCCATTTTTTCATCATGGATACTCAGAAGAAGTCTTTCTTCAGATGTTTTGTGTCAAATAATCAGGTAAATATATAATTAAGTGTGCAAACTGATTTTTATAGGCTGAAGAAAAATCTGTAGAGACCAATGAAACGCCCTTGAGGGTACAGTTTTCAAAGGAGCCAGTAAAAATTTAATCAATACATACATTTTTCACTATCTATAAATCTATCAATTTTCAACAGTAGCAATGGGCAGATTGGTTTCATCTGAGCAATATTGATTTCAATACGTAGCAAATATTAGCTTTAAATAAAATTCAAAATTAGCTGACCATTTGGGGAAAAAAAGCGACCACCTTCAAAAGATAGGGTTTAGTAAAACTAAAAAAAAATTCCCAATAACTTTTACTTCTATATCTAACCTACCTATACCTTTAACAATAGTTTGATCTTGGGATCAATGATTTCCCTCTCTAAATCACATTTCTGGATCATAAAGAGCACTTACTACTGAAGGATATATGCAACAACTGAAATGAAGCCATTCTCTACAGTTAAAGATAAAGTGTAAATTTCCAAGATTTGTTCAGGATACTTCATGATTATAATACAAAGCTGTGAAGAGGTAACAGATGGATAAATGATCATCATAACAATATACCCTAGACCCTTGAGCACAGAAATATTAAAGAATCATGCTGTTGATAATGTGTATAAATGTCTTTAATTTAGAGTACCTTTATTTTCTTTACTTTGAACAGGTATCTTATTACTTTTAGCTAAGAAGTCAAACAGGGTAACTGGAGCTGATGGTTTACTGGACAATTCCTCTGAATCTTCATCTTTTTGTCGTCTGCCACGATTTTCTAGAAAATGTATAAACAATGCCCCTTATAACACATTGACTACAAATATGCAGAAATTTTACTATACATGACTGGGATATAATCTACCAGCTTTAAAGCATCATTATATTTATTCATAAATAATCCTAGACAAAAAGTTACTGCAACTCGGTTTGTTTTGTCTTCTCCTGAGCATCTCTTCCAGTCATGTTGCAAAAATATTTTTTTGGTTTAAAAATATTTTACCAAGAACCATTCAATATACAACAAAAACATCTAAAGCTTGAAATGTAAAGATTTAACTATCAAAAAATTAAAGAACCTTAGTGAGCGCGCTCACATACCCCACGTCCTCACATTGTCATTGGAGAAATAAAATACAAAAATGTATGTGTAAGAAAAAAAATTGTATAAGAAAAAAAAATTGAATCATAATTTCCTGTCGATATGCACATCTACATAGTATGTCCTTATTATCTACAAAGTTTCATGAAATTCTGTTGTGTGGTTTCAGAGGAGTTGTGATGACAAACTGTTGCATAGTACATTGAAGCAAATAAGTTCAAAGGGGCGTAACTCCTAGAAAAAAAATTGAACCGTAATTTCCTGTCGATATGCACATCTACATAGTATGTCCTTATTATCTAAAAAGGTTTCATGAAATTCTGTTGTGTGGTATCAGAGGAGTTGCGATGACAAACTGTTGCAGTAGTACATTAAAGTAAATAAGTTCAAAGGGGTGTAACTCCTAGAAAAAAAATTGAATCGCAATTTCCTGTCGATATGCACATCTACATAGTATGTCCTTATTATCTAAAAAGGTTTCGTGAAATTCTGTTGTGTGGTTTGAGAGGAGTTGCGATGACAAGAAACAGGACTGACGGACAGACGGGTCAAAAACATTATACCCTCCGCAACTCGTTGCGTGGGGTATAATTAAGTGTCGTTAAAAAAACCTTTTAAAATCAAGGGCAGATAATTATACTGAATTTGATAAGACATTTGTGTTTTTTAGATTTTTCAAGAAAATAAGGCACATCCAGGCATGCCAGGGCTTCCAATTTTTTTTTTAGCCAGCTGGACATTTTATATATTATCCTGATTTTAATCCCTTAAGACTAAATAAACAAAAGTCAATTATGGTAATCAGTTGCCGAGTTGGCCATCCCAATGATTGACATTAAAAAAAACGATATTAAACTTTCTTTGATTCAAATTCGAAGTTCTGACGTAAACTCTTAAATTGGCAGTGCATGATTCTAAGTGTGCAACATCAGTGCACTTATATCTGCCTTAGACTCTTTATTTGCGCAAAATAACGTTGTCAAAAACTTTACTTTCGTTTTTAAATCTAATACCGGATGTTATCTTGACAATGGTAAAACATGGACCAGAGACGGATACGTAAATTCTGTGTACGTTTGCAAAGCATGAATGAGTGTAAGTAGCTCTTTCTACGTTATTTCTTCAAGAAAATATTCGAAACAAACGTGAGATAAAGGTATCAATGACAATTTAAGCATTTTTTGAAATAAAGATGCATAATAAAATTGCACACCTGCGCACACGTGTACTACATTTTTTTGTAGTTCAAACAGAGACATGTCTCTGGTTCAAACAACGTGGTTATGACGATTTGTTATTTTTCATTTTCACCTTTTTAATTTTTTCATCAAATCATATTTGTAAACGTATTTCTGATAATTTAAATCTTTTTGACTAAATTAACTAGATGCAAACTGCTGAAATGAAAGAAAATAACTTTGAATAGACCGATCAATGTCCGGTTCAAAATAGTTTACCTGTCACCTGAACAGGTAAATTTCAGCTGTTAGACAACTAATTAGCCTTGATTAAAATGAGAATGTATTAGTAGGGGTTGTTTTGATAGTACTTACTTTTATGACCGGAAATGGGTGGCTGTTAAAGGCAAAAGGTTGGGTCAAAAAGATTGCGAATTATGTTAAAATGACCGTCTCTGAAGAAAGCCTTGAAAACTAAAAAGTAGATGACCGTTTCATGCTTTGCCCAGCCGGACTTTTACCGGACATTATACAAATGTCCGGAATATATGACCGTTTTGGAAGCCTTGCATGACCCCCAATTTTTAAATAATATTTCAAAAGTATTTTATAAGAAAAGCAATTCTCTCATTGAATTTTAACTAATTTAATCTTTTAATGTTTCCTCAATAAAGAAAAAATTAAGTTTCCACTATGTAACCCTCATAAAATAACTGTGATTTTGTTAATTTCAATGTATTTTAATGAAAAAATATGGTCCTTGACCCCCAATTTTTATATTGAAATTTTAACAGAAGTTTAAGAAAAATCTATCATCAAACATTTAGACAACCCAGCTACCTTATTAAGAATACAAAAACTAAATGAATTTTCTAGAATCTGAACTTTTTTGCATAATAAAAATCAACTGAATATTGTTCTGTTCAATTATAAAAATAATGTCAAACATATGCAGCTGTGTATTTCGATAGATACAGAAATTTCCTTTAAAATTACCTCTTCTATCTTCCCTAGGTTGTCGCCCTTGAAAATCTCTCCCACCTCTTGTTGATTGACCTTGTCTATCACCACCATATTGGTTCTGCCTAGCTCCGCCCCTTCCTTGTAGGAGATCATTGACAGCTAGTTGGAAGTTCCCATTGTTCTGTTTTAAAGAATTACTGGCCTGATCAGCAGAAAATCCCATCTCCATAATTCTTGCAACATCTTTATCAGAGCCAATCTGAAACGTAAACTTGTTATTAAGATTTCGCTAAAAGAGCATATTTATATACTGTTATTTTCAAATTTACCAATGTGGATTCATGTTGAATGATATTTTCATTGATTCTTGATTTCAAAATTCTGACAAATTCTGCAAAGAAGCCTTATTCTGAACCAAAATTCTTAGCTTAATTTTTTAACATGATATATCTCAATGGTCAAAGTTCACAGGAAGATAGAAATGGCAGATTACTCAGACACATTAGTCTGACTCTGAGCCTACCAGCCTTTGCTCTTTCTCACTAATACCATTTTCTATGCAGAGAAGCATCAGATGCCAATTTTGAAGTCTAAGTTTAACCTGGCTAACACACTGCTACCAAGACAGTCATCACAGTCAGGGTTTTTTAAATAAGGTTTGAATAAAATATCATGCACTCATGATCAAAAACATTCACACAATATATTTCCTAAACTCTTCTTATAATTACATGTAAGCATTAATTCTATAGAAAAAAAATTTAAAAAAACTTTCACAATCGCACTTAAGTTGAGGAATAAATCCGAATTAATCTTGCATTGTTTTTATGCTATGTTTTTTCCAGCTATGACTGAAAAAATGTATCACCCCACTTTAAACTTAAGCTATAAAATAATGAATCAATTTCTTTAACTACTTTTAAATTTTTCAGCCTAAAAAGTTCACCTGTTTTTGTCCACCACCAAATGTTTTAGTTTTTTCTTCCTTAGCCTGCAGAGCTTCAGCAATGGTTGCCTGTCTCTGTTGTTCAAATTCTCCTTCCTCTTTCTTTTCTTCTTTCTTTGTTGCTAAAGACTTAAAATTATCTACAATAATCAAGAAAAAGTCTGTCTTTCTAACTCATGAATAATCAGTGTTAATCAACCTCCCCCACAAAAAAAATATTTGATTAAAAAGTTTCAGCAAAAGGTTCAAATCTATCTCTATTTATTATAGTTCTAAAAATAACAGCGAAATTCAAAATTAAAATGTTACAATGTGGTCATTTAAGAAACAATAACTCCTAAAAAAACAGGTTGAAGATACCAAGGGGACATTCAAAACTTGGGGATTAATAATTGAGAATGGTAGATCAGTATTTGTTGACCATTCTAATATGACACCCTTCAACCACCTTGGGTCCATATCCAGGGAAAAAAAAATATATTGTACAAATGTTAGCTGATCTGCAATGTCATAATTTTTTCAGTCTGTTCTTATTTACTACCATGTTGTAGGTAGAAAACCCTCCTAACATGAAAATTCTACTCTCCTAAAATCTAATGCTTCAGTATTTCAACAAATTGCAAACTTCATTTAACCAGGAAATCTCTTGTTGCAACTCACAACAAAAGCCATAGCTAGCTTAGATTAACAGACAGAAAGAAAAAGTGGTGTTTATGCGCTTCTTTTTAGGAACAAAATAAATTGAGATTATACAGAGAAGAGAAAACTATCTTAACTTAACCGTTAAATGTAAACCAAAAAAACTGTCCAAACTTGAACTCAATAATATAAATATTAAATAAATGGGGAATGTGTCCATGAGACACAGATGATGCCCCCACTTGCATATAACGTTATAAAGGGACATAACTCAAGTACTGTAAAAGTGACGCTACCCAAATTTGTACTTGATCTGAGTTTTGTGGTAATAAGCATTGATTATAAGTTTCATAACATTTGGTTGAGGCAAACTAAAGTTAAAGAACGGAAATGAAATTTCAGCAATTTTTCCATTTGTAAAGGGGCATAACTCTAGAACGGTAAAAGTGATGCCACCAAAATTCAAACTTGATCTGTGTTTTGTGGTAATAAGCATTGTGTATAAGTTTCATAACATTTGGTTGAGGCAAACTAAAGTTAGAGAATGGAAACACATTTTGGGACGTACGTACAGACGGACAAGGGTAAAACTTAATGCCCCCTCCACTACGGCGGGGGCATTAAAAATTGAACATTTTTCAATAATTCAAGATTAGAGGGGTTTTAATTCAATTCCAAAAGAAAACACAAAATTAGCAGTTCATATAAAGGTATGCAAAAGTTAGTTGATCATTTCATAGTTTGCAACAATTCAAGAAAATTACCTTTCTGAGTTGCAGGTTTGACTTCTTGTATTCTATGCCCAAAAGGAACAAATGGAGGGGGCCCTCCTTCTGTCACACCTCTCAGTTTGGACTGTTTGGATAACATCTAAAAAAAAAAATTGCAATTAGATTTCCATATAATAATTGTTCATATTGTTGTTTTACAATAACTATTCCTGCAGTCAGTTTCTATTCGAGCCAAAATTGCAAATACTGTGACTCAATCAATTTTCATAATTAATTTATCAGAGGCATATTAAAACCTTAATTTTGGTGAATTTTGACTTGTCAAAGGGCATTACTCTTTGCCATAGTCAATCTACGTAAAATGTAGTGTTTCTGTGAAGGCATGAACCTTTTCAAATGATAAACATCACAAATTATCTATGCGTCACCACGTCTTTCTACTTGAACTAAAAATCTCTTTCTTTTCTTAAAAAAATCATAATTTGGAAGCAGGCCTTAAACATCAATTTAAAGAACCTTTTTTATTTTTAAAATCAGAATCTATGTCAGTTTTTAGCTATCAAAACAAATTATTACTTTAATGTTATTTATTAGCAAGTACCTGTTTTTTTTCCAACAAATAGCGTCTTCATTAGTTCAATTTACCTAGTTTAACTTACCTTTTTAAGTTCCCAGTTTTCAGCCATTTTCTCAACACGTCCACCAATCAGCTGACAGTTTTTATTATTTAACAACATAATTCCATGCTCTACTGCTACTGTACCCTTCAAAAGTACTTTTGTTCCAGGCGGTATGTTCATTCTGCAAAAATATACATTCCAGATGTTTATAAATGCTGATGAGCTGTTTCTTCTTAAAGAAATAAACTGTCATCATGTATTCTATTGGTATATAAAATATATACATTGCCACTTGATTGGTTGCTATTTTCTCTAGATTGCAGCAAATACTTAAAACAAGTCAAAGATAGAAGAAAAAGTTAATTGGATATAAGTCAATATCTTTAATCTCAGAACAAGACCAATACTGGGTCTGGACCTGCCTCTCTGCATGTAATTTATTGAGGTTGCATGTATACAGAATCATAACTGATCATTCCCTTTCATTGAAGGCAAGAAAACTTAGACGAAAGTTTTTCTTGTACAATGAGTGTTGTAAAATTTCAAACTATCCACTAAATACTTCCAGGAGACAGAATTAAAAAAAAAAAAACATATATGCAATAAAAAATAAAAATTGATAAGTACCCAAACTTATCCAGTTTTTCTGTTTCTACACCATTAGAATTAAGGTGACCATCAGTCAGTGTCAGTTTCAGCAGTCTGGGAGCTCCTTGTGATTCCTCATTGTCTTTAGGGGCTGCTACATTTCTGATCTTTTGTATTTGTAACACCCCTGGACCTTCAACCTGTAAAATTGCAAGTAATACAGCTTATGTAGAATTTGTCTTTTCTGAATTCATACACAATAGACATGGCCACACAAATAAATTTTCCTGAATTTGAATTCTTCATTTTATGAAAACGATCTACACATTAAATACAATCGGAAGGTATTTATAATGGGTTTTGCTATTACAACGTACAGTATAGATATGCAAAAGGTGTGCTTGTGTGCTCATACAACTGGTTTTATCCCAACACATGTTGTGCCTGTACCAAGTAAGGCTATCTGAATCATGTGTTGTTAGTAGTTGTTTGTAGTCTTTTCTTTTGTCTGAAGTTTTGTCAATATTTTTGTTAAGGTGGTACATAACACTACTGTTTAATAAATTGTTATCACAGAGATATGTCTCGCTTTTTTGTAATTTCGATAATGCAAATGTTGAAATTAAAATAGCAACACTTTAAAATGTAAGTTTTGCAAATATTCAAAGTCAATGAACCATGACTGAAGGTACATGGCTAAACAATCTCAATGGAAATGAGATGTACCAATGCTGATACAACTGCACTCCAAATACTATTGACTTATCATAAGCAGTTCCCTTTAAACAAACCTAAACACAAACTAATACATGTAAACTAAGCAAAATCTCAAAGACAATATACCATGACTGAGGGAGTGGGGCCAAATAATCTCCATGGAAATGAGATATGCCAATGCTTATACAACTGCATACCAATTATCATTAACTTACCACTAGTGGTTCCCTATAAACTGACCTAATCACAAACTAATACATGAAACTAAGCAAAAGTTTCAAAGTCTCAATAGACCATAACTGAGGGGGCAGGGCCAAATAATCTCCATGGAAATGAGATGTGCCAATACAAATACAACTGCATACCAAATATCTTTGACTTACCACTAGTGGTTCACCATAAACTAGACCTAATCACAAACTAATACATTGTTGACGCTGCAGCCGTCGCAGCAGCCGCCGATGCCGCCGCCTGAAACAGCATACCTATGTCTCACTTTTTGACTCCGTCAAGCGAGACAAAAATCAGCTGAACATTTTAATCACGTTCTATTGTTAAGGAAATATTAAGCTTCTCAATGATCATAAACTGTTAACACAGAGATATGTCTCACCTATTTGTTACTTTGATAATGCAAACATTGAAATTAAAATAGCAATACTTTAACATGTAAGTTATGCAAATTTCAAAGTCAATGAACCATGACTGAAGGTAATGCAACTGTATACCAAATACCATTGACTTTTCATAAGTCGTTCCCTTTAAACAAACCTAAACACAAACATTAACTTGTAAACTAATAGGTATGGGCTTTGCTCATTGTTGAAGGCTGTACAGTGACCTACAGTTGTTAATTTCTGTGTCATTTGGTCTCTTGTGGAGAGTTGTCTCATTGGCAATCATTCCACATCTTCTTTTTTATAAGTCAATGAACCATAATGAGGGGGTGGGGTTATATAATCTCCATGGAAATGAAACTTGCAAATGTATTGGCATTTGCTAGTTTCATTTCCATGGAGATTATATAACCCCACCCCCTCATTATCATACCATATATCATTGACTTAACATTAGTGGTTCATCTTAAAAAAAAAAGGAACAAAAGATACCAGAGGGATGGTCAAACTCATAGATCGAAACCAAACTGACAACGCCATGGCCAAAAATAAAAAGACAAACAGACAAATAATAGTACAGATGACACAACATAGAAAACTAAAGACTAAGCAACACAAACAGACCTAATCACAAACTAATACATGAAAACTAAGCAAAAAATTCAAAGTCAATAGACCATGACTAAGGAGTAAGGACCAAATATTCTCCAAGGAAATGAGATGTGCTAATGCTTATACACATGCATACCAATTATCATTGATCTAACACTAATACATGAAAACTAAGAAAAAGTTTCAAAGTCAATAGACCATCACTGAGGGGGTGGGGCCAAATAATCTCCATGGTAATGAGATATGCCCATGCTAATACAACTGCATACCAAATATCATTGATCTACCACTAGTGGTTCACCATAAACTAGACCTAATCACAAACTAATACATTGTTGAGGACGCGGCCGCTGACGGAAACAGCATACCTATGTCTCGCTTTTTGACTCTGTCAAGGCGAGACAAAAATTAGTCTTTGTCAAACTGCTATATATCCAATGAAATTTTTCAGATAAAGTGTGTGGTTCAAGTTTTTTGAAATTTTTATATTTTTGTCAAAGGGTCAAAGTGAATATTTTGTCAAAATTTTATGAAAATTAAATGAGTCAAATTAATTTTAATCAAGGTGTTTGGTACCAACTTAATTCCTGTTTTCTTTTTATGTATTATCTAGTAACAATTGCAACTTGTTTAAATAGTTCACAACAAAATTTATTCTGAGTTCAACCGATAAAGGAACAATTTATTTCACATATATATTTTATGGTTTTACTATTGTGATATTTTGCATGTAAAAAATGTTTAAACTATAAAATCATTTGTTATAAATAGCGTAATTAAACCAACAGAAATAATTTCATTCCATTATTTGCCAATGTCAAAATTATAAAAACACAACTACTCTATAATTAGAAATAATAGAATTTATGATCATATATATATATATGGAATTTGATATGTTACCATGAAAATAGATTTCTTTCTAAAGACATATTAAAAAAGATAATCTCATTTATTAGAAAAATGAAAATGATAAAATCATTTGTATGTGATTTATGTCATGTATGTACATGTAGCCAATTTACAATGTATATTTTGTGTGTGATAAAAAAAAGTGTATATATTTTTAAGATGTATTACGGTAAATGGGCTTCCATATTACTTACATATTCACAGCTGACTTTATTAACATCATCTGGTAACCATTTCCTCCCTATTTCTTTGAAATCAGTCTGGAAAGAGAAAAAAACGCCAGTAACAAGGAGCAAATAATGTACAATAAACAATACCAATATAGACTTAATTTTTTTTTTAAATCTTAAATTAATGTTCTGTATCTGAAAATTGGGCAATGTAGTGTAATTTACTAAACATATTTTATTAAAGAATTCGTTTAGTATAGCTACAAGAGTATATGAATACGAAATATACAAATAAATCTAAAATTGAGATAAGGAAACAAGAGCAGTGCTCTTTTATAAATCCATCTCTCTTGGGCAGTGTAAGCAACAGGAATCAAATATTTCCATTTTACTTTGCTGGACACTCTAAAAGTCTGCCCCCTAAGTCCAACAGGTCCGACGATTAGCTGCATCTCTGCCTTATGCCATTGTCCTTTTTATTTCCCCTTCACTTATTTCTCAAATGTCTACATATTTGTTTTTAATATGCAATTTAAAAATTTAAAACTAAAGTTACATATGCTAAAATACATGTCCTAAATGAATATCAGACTCACTTTGCTGCTTATGGATGTTAACAGCTGACATTTTCACCTATTTAAACATGTTAAAATGGATTGTAACCCTTCTGAATTTAATTTTCTTGGCAATGATTAAGAAAATTTGCCTCATAAACCCATCTATATGTAAATATATATTTTTTAAATGATTTTAAAACACAATTCTGAGGAAAATAGTTTCAAATTTTGTTGTTTTTAAGTATATTTGTTTCAAAACAGTCATGACATAGGAACATTAATTTCTTCCCATACATTTACTATAAATAATATTATTCCCATCTAAAATACAAACAAACATGCGTGTAGATGTACTTGAAAATCAAGCCATAGAGACCTATCTATATTTTTTAATATTTCTGATATAGTGTAAATTTTCTATTGAAAAGACTTTATATTTGAAAATGATGCAGTTTTGAATTTCAGCAAAGATTTGTTGTTAAGTTGTAATGATACAAGAAAGCACAATAATCTAGTTGTATCTTCTTTATCAAAATTGTTTCCTTTTTATAAACCTTCTACCTATTATCAAAGTGAAAAACAACATTAAAAGCTGTGTATAAGTATCATTGATATACATAATGGTCTTTGTCAGCTTTACATACAATTCCTCGAGCACTGGAGATTGTCGGTTTGATCCATGGCCAGATCAAACCAAAGACTTGGCATTTTCTTCTTCTCCTCATGCTGCATATGAAGTACATTTTTTTGTAAGAGCAAAGACAGGTTGAATCAAAGTCAGAATAATACGTCCAGGTAGGGAAAATTGTCAACCTGCAGTCTGTTACCTTGAGAACTAGCATTTTAACATCTGTGTCTGTCTAGTACAAGGCAGGGTCCATATTTACTTCACATAAACATCTTCTCGTCCTGATATTAAATAGCCATCCAACATCATCATCCATGGTATTGCTGAGAGTTGCATCTTTTCTACATGCATATCCTTTTTTCTGAGGTATACTTCATACCCAATAGTTTAATGATTTCAAATGTCTAACCATGAGTTCTTAAAAACATTTGTGGAGACTATCCTACAGAATCAAAATCTGATTTTAATCTTCACTGATCTGGAGTACTTACATCTTTAGCAATTTCAATAATCTTTTCATCTTTCCTAGAGTTTTCACCAACACACTGTTCAATACCCTCTGTACTTAAATGCCTAAAAATAAATTTGAAATACTTTTTTAAATTATTCTGTAAATTAAATAATTGTTATTGATAATCTTGTTATTTAAGCTGTTTAACATGTACAGTGCAGTCCGGTGCAGGGCTTCCAAAATATATTTGTGCCAGCCGGACATTTTTTGTCCGATCCTGATTTTAATCCCTTAAGATTAAGTAACAAAAGGAGATCATGGTAATCAGTTGGGCATCATATAAACAATGATTGACATAAAAATGATATTAAACTTGAATTTTGATACAAATTTGATGTACTGACGTAAGTTGTTAAACTGACAATGCATCAATCGAAGTGTGCAACATTAGCGTACTAATATCTGCCTTGGAACCTTTATTTGTGCAAAATTACGTTGTCAAAAACTTAACTTTCTGAATTCATTTTAAGAAGGCACATTTTCTTATACTGGATGTTGACTTGACAATGGTTATACACTGACCGATGACGGAAACGTAAAATCTGTGTACGTTTACAAAGCACGATTGAGTTCAAGTAGCTCTTTCCACATTATTTCTTCAAGAAAATACTTGAAATGAACGTTAGATAAAGGTATCAATGATAATTTTAGCATTTTTGAAGAATTTGGATGCATAATTAAATCTCACACCTGCGCACATGCGCAAGCATGTCCTAGTTCAAACAACGTGGTTCTGACGATTTTTCGCTTAAAACCTTTATCATGTTTATAACTACCTTTTAAATTTTTCATCAAATCTTATTTATATGTGTATTTTTGATAATCTAAATCTTTTTGACTAAATTAATTAGATGGAAAACGCTGAAATTTATGAAAGTTACTTTAAACAGACCGATCAATATCCTGCACATACTATAGTTTACCTGTCACCTGAACAGGTAAATTTCAACTGTCAGACAACTAATTAACCTTGATTGTAATGAGAAGGTATTAAAGTAGGGTTTGTTTTGATAGTACCTTGAATATTCACCACTGATGATGTCACTTATATTACAGGAAATGTGTCCGTTTAAGGCAAAAGGTCAGGTCAAAAAGATCGCAATAACTTCATTTTTTTTCTTAATTATGTTAAAATGCCAAACCCTCATTAAATGTCCGTTTCAGGTTCCACACAACAAGTCATAATCATAACTTATCCGACAAGTCCGGACAATACAACGGTTTTGGAAGCCCTGGTCTAGTGTATCAAACCACCTAAGACTTTTGGCTTCACTTTGGTAAACTCATAAATCCAATAATCGGTTAATATCGCATAAACAAATTCATGACATACTTTAATTTCATGAAATCTTATTAATGTATGGATTCACCCTTAGATTTTGTTGATGTGTGTCCAAAATTAGGGAAACCCCTGTTTTCACAGCTCTTCAAATGACCGGTAACTTCATGCATGCCTTCTAAAAATAGTTAATTTTAAATAAAGGAAAGATTTTATACTACAAAATATAGTTCAGTTTGAACCAAACAAACTGCCAAGGATGTGGAGCAAAATCTAAGTTATTTTGATAAAATCTGACTTAAAATGAAATCAATTTTATCTAATAGTGATGTAATTTTTTTTATGAAAATGGTTAAATATGGTTTATCATGGGATTGCAATTATAAATTTATGCTTGAACTTATCAATTCTTATCTTTTCTGATCCTTCGGAAGACTAAAACAATTAAAAGTACAATTCTACTTGTGTTACATTGCGGATATGATGAAATCAGGGAATGCGTGATACCCACAGGGGATTCCACTGTACATGCTGTATGTGCTTCAAATGTCTTTGAAAAAAAAATACTAGTGAACAAAGAAAAATTTACGAAAATAAACAATGTTTGACAAGCGATTTGAAAAGAATATGTTGCTTTTAATGCAATAATAGTTCAAATTGAAACATTAACTAAAGGCAATTTTCATCACGTTCTAATGAAGTAACAAACTTATTTTGCCAAAAAACAGAATGTTTTGATATACATGATATATATACCCTCTCGATAACAAGTACCGGAAGTGAAAGAAAATACAATACTTCATAAAAAGTTGTTTTATTTGAAATAACATACGACCAATCTGTATAGTCAATGCTTTCACCATGTTCACCTCTTCTAAAGGAATAAATCATTTATGTCTTTGTATTTCTTTACTTATAAATGAAAAATTGCTGTTTCATCGACTTTGGCAGTCGGGTAAAATGTAGTGACGGATAGGATAGTAACTACTTCGCCCCAGTCGCCTGCTAGCGTGAGTCCTGTGTATTCGTAACAATTGTAAAATGGTGCATAAATGACTTAGTTTCACATATACACATGCATTAGTTCAATAATTTCATATGACTTCAAGTTTAAACAAGCATCTGAATGAATGAAGAATATGTGCATGCCTGTCTTGAGGTTGAATGCTACCAGAGAGGGGCTGAGGAGGAATTTTAAATAGAAGCATGATGCATGTTGGGTGTCAATAGATTCAGGCCATATTCTTGACGGCGTTCTTGACCATAAAACCAACATTAATCTATAAAATTGGGACACAAAAAATCTTCTAGTGGCAGTGTGAGAAGTAAATCTGAACTCTTATCTCTGTCAGTGTCAGACTTTAAAATTCCAGGACAGGACAACTGTCAGAATGAGTTACACTAAATAGTTTTAATTGAATGAAATTTTGTATAAGTAATAATGCACACGTTTAACATTTTATGCACAATCTTAAAACTTTACAACTATCGTATGAATGTGAGATATAGCCTTATATAATTGATTTTCTTCTAACCATCCTTTGGCATCCAATGTGGCACCTGCCATTTTCCAACCTCCTTGATTTTAAAACAGCAATTTTGATTGGCCAATTTGGAAATATTGGAAAATCCCCTTTTTGCTACTCCTTTCTTGTGCACTTGATTCTTATAATATTTGATTGCGAACAACTTGATATACATCTGAGAAGGATGCGATAAAGAAAATTGAAAACGGACTGAAATGAAAAAGAAATTTTATGCAGAATCTAAAAATAGTAAATATTGACGAAGTGAACATATAAACGTGATTCCCATTGGACAAAATTTTGGGAGTATGATATGGCGGATAGTGAATCACAAAAAAGTGTGTCAAAACACAATGAATGGAAGTTCTTTTATATTCAAGTGCTAAATACCGCAACAACTATTGACAGCAAGATTTTGTTATAAACTGTTCATTTACCTTCATTTTCAAATAATCCCTTCAAGTTTTATTCTTTGAAATTAATGAAACTTCACCAACAGCTTCGTTCAAATCAGTCGAGCTCCAAGATTCAAATGGACTCAATGTCTTATATGACTTAATGTCGTATGTTTACATGCGGTTTTGTTTATCGGAGGAAGTGTATACTTGAAAATCAACCATGGACAAAAAAGATATATCAAAACGGAACAGTATTGTAAGTATATAGCACATGTACACTACTATTTACTGTGTAGTTTCTCCTGTGACATTCAGGAAGTTAGCTGTCTTTTAAGACAAATACACATCTGAATAATTATGTTCCTTAAACATCATTTGGGTACACAGTATCACAATTAATATTGTTTTGTTGACAGTGATATTAATTAGAAAATGAGTGAACAGGTTGTTCCCAAGAAGGACCAACAGAAGAGAAAATCATTCAAGGTAAAACATTTAAAAGTACAAAGAGGTAACAAGTTATACTATACCTGCAGGAAGAAGAAATCAGAAACTGCAGGTAGACAAACGAAAAAATCAAATAATACCTTAACTACTGAAATAAATAATATATAAATTATGACGGGTACAGCATGTACAGTAGCCATGGTAACATGTACAGACCAATTTCATATTACATGTACTAACTTTTGTCTCTGGAGTAAGTAATTTTTCGACAGTTTACTTACTTTGTGGTTGGACATTCTGGTACTAACTTTTTCCAATGATTTTGTTGTGTAAAACATAAATTCGATAAAACAGTTGATTCTTATGGTAATTATCTATGAAAATTATGATCGATATATGTAGAGAGAATCTTTGAGTAGCAAAAATGATTCACAAGACAAGATCTTCAAATAAATCAGTGTTGACAAAATTGTTGGTTGATTCTTTATAGGAGTTGTTGCCCTTAAATGACAATTTTTTTTACCATTTAGCTTTGTGTTCTGGCTTACATGGCTTATATCTATATAACATGTATAATAGACATGATAGATGCATGTAGATTTATAGAAATTTAAATATCAAGACAAGATCTCCATATTAGTGAACATTTCTGAAATTGTCAGCAAACTCCATATTGCCTATTTATCTTGACAACTATAATAGATAAATTCATGTAGATAAAAACTTTAAAAGCATAAATGATGACCAGGACAAGATCTACAACATGTCAAGATGGCCAAAATTGTCAGTCAACTCTTTATAGGAGTTATGGCCCTTTAATGATGATTTTTACACATTTTTGCAATTTTCATGATTTTGGAGAAAACTTGGGTGAATAAATTAAAACTTGAACTATCAAAAATGATCAGCAGAACAAGATCAACAAAAAAGAGATTGAATTTATATATTATTACAAACAATGTATATGGTGGCCATACACATGTAATTGAACATACACACATACACAAATGTACATGTGTATATCAAGATGAGCAACAGAGGCTGTTTAGAGCCTACAGTTACATAATAACATGAACCATCAATTGACTCCCTATATGAGTTATTGCCATTGTACAATGCAATGTATGATGATTTTAGAAAAATCTTGAATAATAAATAATGGTGATCATTTTGAGATTTAGAACAACACTGTTATTAAAATTTATATCAACTTTTTATGCTATTCAATTTATACATTACTATATCATGTACATGTATATAGGGTTAATTGATTACAGTTGAAATAAAATGGAAAAATTGTATTTCTTTTGGGTCTCTGAACACAGAACAAGCATTCAACAATGAAACACCATGGAGCTACTACTATATCAAAGACTAATAGGAGTTTAAATAATTGCAGATTGATTTAGATCCAGTAAATGCAATTAATTTGATTACTTTGAAATGCTTAATTATTTTATTTACAGTTTAATAAAATAAAGGGAGGAGGAAAAGACAAAAAGGCACCAAACAAATTACCAACACCTAGTGAGTCCGATGACACTAACGGGAACGCTTATGGATTCCGTCCAGACACTAGCTCATTGTCGGACAAAGAGGTCGTGGAAAAGTTTGAGAGAATGCTGGTTAGTATATAATATTATATCATGTGACGCATGTGTCCTCAATATGTTTAACTGTGTAAGAGTTTGATGAACCAACACCTACAAGCTAGGGGTTCAAATTTGCTCTAAATAATGAAATGTGAACATGGTGAATTGAAATCAGAGTCTGCATTGCAAACACTTGCATATCAAACAACCTGAAAAATATACACTTTCCATCAAGGGAAGGAAAATTAACAATAGGAAAGGAAAAGTCTTCTGGTTTATTAATAATTTAGGTATGGATATTACCATGATTGAGAAATTCTAATATCATGAATATCATTGTATAAAAAAGGACATTAGTCACTTTTATTGTTCGATTTAGCCATGTGAGTAAGAATGAGTTCAGGTGCGGATAGTTTATTTCTATACATGTTTTTAGAAAAATCTGGATTGTTTATCAGATAAAAAGGGTATATATTTAGGGTTTCCCAACCAACTTTTATTTTAAAACCTAATGTTTTTATGAGGATAAACTTTTCACCTATATATATATATAAATATATATCAGTTGTAGCCCCTAACTTATTTCATCAAAATACCTGACAGGGTTGATATATAGGAAGGAAACCCTTGACACACATATATTATACTTTTTCCTTATCTAAATATCTGCTTGTATTGTTAAAAATATCTATCAAGTGGTGTTTTATTGTGACATAATGAAGCTTTACCATGTTTACCTCAAATTAGAATTCATAACAGTTGTGGTAGTAAGCAAATAAATCTGCAATAAAAGGGGTACAGTTTTTTTTCCCCAGAAGAAAATAATATAAATCACTTTTTCAATGGTACATGTATAAGATCTACAAGACAGACATACATATTGTCAAGCAAAATATTAATGACTTTACCAATTTATTTGCCATTTTGTTTTCAATTTGTGTATTTTTGTTAGTTTTATAACTGAAAAGGGAACTTTAACACCTACAGCAGATACACATTTGTAGGTACACCGTTGGAGATTTATCTGATAATCATAAGACTGTTTTATTGAATTAAAGGCAATCTTCTCTTTAATGAGATTGTGTTGTAGTGTACATGTACTATAAACGGTATAGAATAGAATAGAATATTTTTATTTCCCAAATTACAGGGCCCATAAAGGGCATACAATCAGTTACAATTGATAGAAATCTAAACTTGTCAAATGAGGCAAACTGACCTTCAAAGGTTATCCAAGACTTCCAAAGAGTTTTTCGCACTCCATAAATAGTCATGATAAATGTAGTTAAAATTTCAGCTATTGATCATGACATATCATGCAGACGTTGTTATAGCACTTCATAAGGAGTTAGTATGATTTACCAAGCCTTTTAAAAGTAATGGAACATAAATTAGTAAAAGTTCAAAAAAGTATTCAATGAATCCTGAACCAATTTTTATACGACCGCAAAAAAAAATTTGTGGTCGTATATTGGTATGACGTTGGCGTCGTCCGAAGACACATTGGTTTTCGCACTCTAACTTTAGTTTAAGTGAATGGATCTCTATGAAATTTTACCACAAGGTTCAATACCACAAAAGGAAGGTTGGGATTGAATTTGGGGGTTATGGTACCAACAGTAAAGGAATTAGGGGCCAAAAAGGGGCCAAAAATAAGCATTTTTGTAACTTCAAGCCATAACTTGTGTGTTAGTGTATGGATCTCTCTGACATTGTACCACAAGGTTCCATATCACAAAAGGAATGCTGGGATTGATTTTGGGGGTAATTGCCTCAAAATTTTAGGAATTAGGGGCCAAAAAAGGGGCAAAAAACAAGCATTTTTCTAGTTTCATGACAATACCTTGTGTGTAAGTGTATGGATCTTTCTGAAATTGTACTACAAGGTTCCATATCACAAAGGGAAAGCTGGAATTGAGTTTGGGGGTAACTGCCGAAACGTTGAGGAATTGGGGACCAAAAAGGGGCCAAAAATAAGCATTTTTCTAGTTTCAGGACAATAACTTGTGTTCAAGTTTATGGATCTCTCTGAAATTGTACTGCAAGGTACCATACCACAAAGGGAAGGCTGTGATTGATGATGGGGGTAATTGCCTCAATATTTTAGGAATTAGGGACCAAAAGGGGGCAAAAAACAAACATTTTTCTAGTTTCAGGACAATAACTTGTGTTCAAGTGTATGGATCTCTCTGAAATTGTACTGCAAGGTACCATACCACAAAGAGAAGGCTGGGATTGAGTTTGGGGGGTGATGAATCATAAGGGGGTTCAAAAAATTTGGTGGCGGATTTTTTTTTTTTCCTTTTTTTTCTTTTTTTTTTCTTTTAAAATTTTCCATTTTAAGTTGGTTATTTCTGATTTATATTTAAAAGCAAATAATGATGATATGGTAGGAGATACACACCAAACAGGATGTGTAAATTATTATATAATAAGTATTGTGCAATAGCAAGAAATTTTCAATTGCACAGTATTGCGCAATAGCAAGAAATCTTCAATTGCACAGTATTGCACAATAGCAAGAAATATCCAATAGCACAATATTGCACAATAGCAAGAAATTGTCAATTGTACAGTATTGCGCAATAGCAAGAAATTGTCAATTGTACAGTATTGCGCAATAGCAAGAACTATTTAATTGCACAGTATTGTGCAAAAGAAGATACTTCGTATAAATTGCTTATTTCTTGACCAATTTCAATGGGGTTTTATTCTTGAATTCTTGGGGTTCTTTAATATGCTGAATCTAACCGTGTATTTAGTGTTTGGATTTTGGGCCCCGTTTTTAAATTGGTCCACATTGAGGTCCAAAGGGTCCAAAATTAAACTTTGTTTGATTTCATCAAAAATTGAATTATTGGGGTTCTTTGATATGCCGAATCTAACCGTGTATTTAGATTCTTAATTTTTGGTTCCGTTTTCAAATTGGTCTACATTAAGGTCCAAAGGGTCCAAAATTAAACTTAGTTTGATTTTAACAAAAATTGAATTCTTAGGGTTGTTTGATATGCTGAATCTAACCATGTATTTAGATTTTTGATTTTTGGGCCCCGTTATCAACTTTGTCCACATTTAGGTCAAAAGGGTCCAAAATTAAACTTTGTTTGATTTCATCAAAAATTGAATTCTTGGGGTTCTTTGATATGCTGAATCTAATCATGTATTTAGATTTTGGATATTGGACCATAATAGGTGAATGTCCAATTTAAAATTTTTAAGTTCTTAGACCACATTCATTCTGTGTCAGAAACCTATGCTGTGTCAAATATTTAATCACAATCCAAATGCAAAGCTGTATCAAGCTTGAATGTTGTGTCCATACTTGCCCCAACTGTTCAGGGTTCGACCTCTGCAGTCGTATCAAGCTGCGCCCTGTGGAGCATTTTATTGTAAAATGAAGAACTGTAGACTGGGTTGGTGTTATTGTACATGTTGTACAGGAGTTTAACTAGACATGCACATGCTAGAGAAAGGAAGAAATTTTCAATTTTATATATATATACATTGTTAGATATGGTTATTGTTCCAAAACTAACAAAACTCTTGACAGCAAAGTTGACCGTTAGTTTTCTTGTTTGAATTGTTTTACATTGTCATTTCAGGGTCTTTTATAGCTGACTGTGTGGTATGGGCTTTGCTCATTGTTGAAGGCCGTACGGTGACCTTTAGTTGTTAATTTCTGTGTCATTTGGTCTCTTGTAGAGAGTTGTCTCATTGGCAATCATACCACATCTTCTTTTTTATATATACTCAGTCTGTTTTGGTACATTTTGTGAAATACATGAAATATGTTTGAAAATTTGGCTTCACATTTTTGTTTGTCACAAGCATACCCAAGGAACATATTACAGAAACATACACCACATGTCCTGAAGTCTATTACCATGATTACTGTATCATGCATATCCAACATTTATTATTCAGATTTTTTTTTAAATAGAAAATTTAGAAAGTAAAGCTGATAAAAATGTAATTTAAATTTGAAATGACTCAAGTGATTATTCACAGCAACACACCACCATTGACATGATTGACCTATATGTACAGTGTACTTGTAGGCCTCCAACCAGATATGCATTTTGTTGTACAAATAAATATTCTAAACATGTTCAATATAGGTAACACTTGACCTTAGATAACAACAATATTTCAGGTATTTTATAATTCTGGGCAGTAGTATTTACCGTTATCAAACGTGATATGATATCTGTTTGTTTAGATGGTACTAAGCCCTCAAATAAATATTACCTAAGTAATGGGTATTGGTCAGATGGATTTACAGAGAGCAGATGTAAAAGTATTGATACTGTATGTTTACTATACAGCAAATTATATAAGTAAAAAATATGAAAAATAGAGTCAGAAATTACAATTAGTGTAAATATCCCTCCTTTATTAGAGATTAGAAAAATACTTTACATAAAATTGAGAATGGAAATGGGGAATGTGTCAAAGAGACAACAACCCGACCATAGAACAGACAACAGCAGAAGGTCACCAACAGGTCTTCAATGCAGCGAGAAATTCCTACACCCGGAGGCGTCCTTCAGCTGGCCCCTAAACAAATATATATACTAGTTCAGTGATAATGAATGCCACACTAAACTCCAAATTGTACACAAGAAACTAAAATTAAAAATAATACAAGACTAACAAAGGCTAGACGCTCCTGACTTGGGACAGGCGCAAAAATGCGGCGGGGTTAAACATGTTTATGAGATCTCAACCCTCCCCCTATACCTCTAGCCAATGTAGAAAAGTAAACGCATAACAATACGCACATTTAAAATTCAGTTCAAGAGAAGTCCGAGTCTGATGTCAGAAGATGTAACCAAAGAAAATAAACAAAATGACAATAATACATAAATAACAACAGACTACTAGCAGAAAACTGACATGCCAGCTCCAGACTTCAATTAAACTGACTGAAAGTTTATGTCTTCATCATATGAATATCAGGTACAATCCTTCCCGTTAGGGGTTTAGTATCATACCATCATAACATATATGAGAAGAACATAACCCGTGTCATG